CCAAAATGATGAAAATAAGAAATGTTGGGCTTTTTGTTCTTCCACAATTCATAAGGAGTCTTCTTCAGAAGAGGTCTAACAGATACCCTGTTCTGAATGTAGCATGCTGTATTGATTGCTTCTGCCCAAAAATGTTTCGCCAGATTTGTCTCATTGATCATGGTTCTGGCCATTTCTTGCAAAGTTTTGTTTTTCCTTTCTACAACCCCATTCTGTTGTGGAGTTCTAGGACAGGAAAAATCATGAGCAATGCCATTTTCAGAAAAATATTTTTCAAAATATTTATTTTCAAATTCACCACCATGATCACTTCTGACTTTTATAATTTTGAAATTCTTTTCATTCTGGACTTGCTTGTAGAAGTCAAAGAACACATAATGTGACTCATCCTTGTGCTTTAAGAACTTTACCCATGTCCATCTGCTAAAGTCATCAACAATGACCAATCCATACTTCTTGCCTCTGATGGATGCAGTTTTCACTGGTCCAAACAGATCAATATGAAGTAGTTCTAATGGTTTAGAGGTAGAAACAACATTTTTTGATTTGAAAGATGTTTTTGAAAACTTCCCTTTCTGGCATGCTTCACAAAGAGCATCTGAAGTGAACTTCAGATTAGGGAGTCCTCTGACAAGATTAAGTTTATTAATCTGAGATATACGTCTCATATTAATATGGCCCAATCTTCTGTGCCAGACCCATTGCTCTTCATTCACAGACAAGAGGCATTTAACATTTTGAACTTTAAGTTCTGAAAGATTTATTTTATAAATGTTGTTTTTCCTCTTACCACTAAATAGGATAGAGCCATCCTTCTGACTAATAGCTTTACAACATTTTTGATTAAAAGTTATATCATAACCATTGTCACTTAATTGACTTATGGACAATAAGTTATGTTTTAACCCTTCAACAAGTAAAACATTAGTAATGGAGGGAAGTTTACCATTTCCAATAGTGCCAGATCCAATGATCTTGCCCTTCTGATTCCCTCCAAACTTCATGTCCCCTCCAGATCTAAGTTCCAGGCTTTGGAACATAGACTTTTCTCCTGTCATGTGTCGTGAGCATCCAGAGTCCATGTACCATGATTGGTGTCCTGACCTTGCTGCTAAGAACATCTGCAACAGGAATTATTTTGTTTTTAGGTACCCAGATCTTCTTGGGTCCTTTGGGGTTAGTTGGTTTGTAGGTTTGTCTAAACTTCTGTTTTGCAACATAATGTTTATTCTGACTTACCTTAGGTTTAAACACATAAGTACTCTTCTCAGAGCTTGTGTGTTTAATGTCATTCAGGTGACCAAATTTGAATTGAGAGTACAGAGGTGTCTTCCTGATGAAAAGTTTGTCAACAGGTTTTGGATTGCTTCCAGATGAAGACTCATATCCAATGCCTCTTCTGTTGTTTCCACTAACACCATAGATCATGGAAGCCATCTTGCTTCTGTCTATGCTCTTAGTGAGAAATCTCTGAAAACTAGAGTCATATTTTTCTAAAATATTTTCACAAGACTTAGTCTCAGATTCAGATTCTTGTTGAGTTCTATCAAGGTCATTTTTGATTTTTAAATTTATTTCTTTCTGCTCAACAAGTTCTGTTTTTAGAAGATCAATCTCAGATTCAAGATTGCTTTTCAGCTTCTTGTATTTGAGTTTGATGTTGTTGTAACTTTTAAGAACTTCTGTTAAAACTTTAATGAGTTCTTCTTTGGTAAGTTTAGCCATTACCTCTTCTGCATCATCATCAGATTCAGATTCTGATTCATATCCTGAGGTACCTTCCTCTTGATCTTCTGTCCTGGCCATCAGTGCAACGTTTGCACATTCTTCTTCTGATTCAGAAGAAGATTCACACTCATCTGAGTCATCCCATGTTGCCATCAGAATCTTCTTTTTTTTGTTGAACTTCTTCTTAGGTTTTTCTTTCAGAAGTTTGGGGCAGTCATTTTTGTAGTGCCCAAGTTCTTTGCACTCATAGCACACCACTTCTTTCTTGGCAGATCTTCTGTGACTAGAAGATTCCTTTCTGTTGTCAGATCTTCTGAAGTTGTTGAACTTCTTTCCCTTGTGCTTCCAGAGTTTGTTAATCCTTCTGGACAGCATGGATAACTCATCTTCTTCTTCAGAAGAAGACTCTTCAGAGCTTTCTTGAATGACCTGCAAAGCTTTAGCAGTTTTGTTAGATTTTAAAGCTACAGATTTACCTTTATCTTTCTTCTGAGGTTCATCTTCCTCAAGCTCAATCTCATGGCTCCTCAGTGAGCTGATGAGTTCTTCTAGAGAGATCTTATTCAGATCTTTGGCCATCTTCAGGGCAGTCACCATTGGTCTCCATCTGATGGGCAGACTTCTGATGATTTTCTTTACATGATCTGACGTGGAATATCCCTTGTCCAGAACTTTCAGCCCAGCAGTGAGTATCTGGAATCTGGAGAACATGGCTTCAACAGATTCAGAGTCTTCCATTTTGAAAGCCTCATACTTCTGGATCAGAGCCAGAGCTTTTGTCTCCTTAACTTGAGAATTTCCCTCATGAGTCATTTTAAGGGATTCAAACATATCAAAAGCTGTCTCCCTGTTTGTGATTTTCTCATACTCTGTATGTGAAATAGCATTCAGTAATATGGTTCTGGCTTTATGGTGATTTCTGAAGTCTTTCTTCTGAGAATCTGTCATAAATTTTCTGTCAATCTTTTTGCCATCTCCATCTGTGGGATGTACATATCCATCTATGACAAGATCCCATAGATCAGCATCATATCCTAGGAAAAAACTCTCAATTCTGTCTTTCCAGTAATCAAATTTTTCTCCATCAAACATTGGAGGTTTGGTGCTGATCCTATCCCTCTCTTCATATTTATTGTTAATATTTGACATTGAATTATCAGCCATGATAACAAATAAATATATTTATCAAAGTATATCTCTCTGGATCTTTACTGACACTGTTAAGTGATAGCACACTCAGAACCGGAGCTCTGATGCCAACTGAAGGTGAGATAATACTTAGAAAGGGGGGGATTTAATAAGTATGGAAAATTAAGACTTGAAAATAATCACACAATTATTTTTATCCTGGTTCGTTTAACAACTACTCCAGTCCACCCTTCCAGAGTGATTTGCCTTTCTCAACAAGGACTTAATCCACTATTAAATCAAACTGATTACAATAGTATCACCTAAGAACAACAGTTCTTAGTCTTCTCAAGAGCTACTGATTCTAACTGAATCCTCTTAAGGAATATCCTTTACAATCAATGTAAAATAAATACAAGAGTTTTTAATGCTTCTATAAAGCTTTTATCACAACAGTGATTTTTCTCTTTAAGTTTAAGTACAATGAGATTCTATGAAGAATAAGAATGAGAGCTTTTAGAATATTATAATTTCTTTTCAGCAAGTGTGTATCACTGAAGAATGAAGTGAAGATCTCCTTTTATAGGCAGCTGAATCATGCAAGCTGAACGTTGAAAAGAGAGTCCCAAAAGGTCTGAGCCTTTTTGTCTTCACATCAACTGACCTTTCCTTGAAATAGATGGCACAGAAAAATCCTTTTTGTCTGTGTAAGTGTGTCTAGCACAAATAAGGAAAGAGACGTTGAATAGTTCCAACGGATATATTCTTGAAAATACTCTTCAGTTTCAGCAAGTTCTTCAGAGTCTGACTGGATCAGAGTCTTCTAAAGAGATTCAGAACTATGTTGTATCAGAGTCTTCTGCAGCATGTGTGCTTCTAGCGTGTTGATCATCAGAGCATTTTGACACAGAACTTCAGTACTTGACAGCGTAGGTACTTTCAGAAACTTCTGTAGATCAATGCTTTGAGAAACTCTTCAATCAATATTCTTCTATACTTCTGATGCTCCAGCTTCAGATGCTTCTGATTATCTTCAGATGTTTCTGATTCAGAATGTTCTGGAGCTTCTTGCTTCAGATCCTTCTGGAGACTACGCTCAGGATCTTCTGTGAGGAGCAAACAGATTCTTCTGTAAGATGCATCTGGCGCTTCAGAGTCAGAATAACTTCTTGTATTCAAGGCAGATTTGCTTCTAGAGAGTTAATATAATTTCAATCTGCAGTAAAACTCTCAAACAAATTTTAGAGTATATAATTCTTAAATATAAATTTCCTAACAGTTATCATCAAAACAAAGAGTAATTATTAAGAATTAATTTGTGTTCTAACAATAAATTGTACTTATTCTTCAATTCAATATATTCACAATATATGCACATCATTTGATTTAATAATATCCAAGCTAGTGTAATAGACTTGATTTTCGATCTAACCGATTGAATCAGCCGAGCTAATCCGATTTTTAAACCTTAACGAATCCTAACTATACATGCCCCATTTTATAAGTGGGCCCAAGAAGAGGGAAGTGAAGAGCTGTCATATAATCCTACTTTATGTTTCTGAAATAATAAAAATCCAGGTGGATTACAGCTGGATAATCATACCCCTCCAAAATACTCCCATCGTTTTACATGATTATGAATTTATGATGCCTCTCATCTCATCCCAGTTACTACCACCACATGTGCGCCGCTAATCTCATCGCTGTCTTTTCTTTCAACCCCATCCCATTCCAGCTACACACTATATTCCACCTCCCGGCCCCACACCAACAACAAATCATACTTTACTCTATTTTTATCTAATCATCCAAATTATCAACTGAATTATTATATTTTTATTTATATTAGCAGAAAAGTATAAAATAGAAATAAAAGAGGTAAAAAGTTCGATAGCGTTTTTTAACCCTTTCCAACGGTCACTGACTACTCAACACCACGTACGACAAAGAAACACTGTAAAATCTTGTACCTTTGTTTCTGTTTACTCGTGTTGTTTTCTTTGTACCCTTCAAATATGAAGGTCGTGACGGTAATTTGACACCAATTAACAGAAAAATAGCGACAACAAGAGAAAGAAAATAACAAGTTGGTTCAGTTTTGCTTTTCTAATTCGTTACGTCGTGCACGTTTCTTTGACTCTATCATGAGAAATTCAACCGACTCTTTCTCCATTGACATTGATTTGATACCTTTGGGAGGAAAGGTAATCTAACTTTTTTCTACTCATCACAAACTGTGAATAATGTAAAAATAGAGATTGAGATAATCATTTTAGTGTATGTTTTTTTTGGAGTTTGCAGGAATGTATAGTGAAAACTAGCAAAGGTTCTGTGTCTGTGCTTGTTTGTGGGGATCGAGATAAACCTGCTCTGATAACTTACCCAGATGTGGCTCTCAATTGTATAATTCTTGTACTTGTTGTTTGGTGCTTTGTTTATGTCATTGGAATCACTATGGGTATGGTTTTTGAAACTATGGAGTGTTTTTTTTTTTCTTTTTCTTTCAGATGTGTCTTGTTTCCAGGGTCTGTTGTTTTGTCCAGAAGCAGCTTCTTTGATGCTTCACAACTTCTGCATTTATCACATTGATGCTCCAGGGCACGAGGTTAGTATCCGGATTCTTTCCGGTGTTATTATCTACACGGACAAAGACACGACTCTGACACGTTGATACATGTATTATTATTTTTTAGAGTAAATGAACTCAAGTAAGTCAATCCAATTGGTCTCTAAATTGAAGTGCGTGTGTCTAATGTCTACACACATATGTCTATTCTATGTCTCTTTTTCTTTGTAAAGAGAGTTAAGAAATTGTTAACTTCCATAAAGAAATAGATAACATATGACTCCATATTAGAGTTCATGAGCATTCTCAAATCCTAAAGTATAATCCACTCTTTTCTCATTTGTTTAAGAGATATTGCAGTTGGGAGCTGATGTGATTTCTTCAGATGAACCATTGCTTTGTGTGGATGACTTAGCTGATCAGGTTGCAGAAGTGCTTGATTTTTTCGGGTACGCATATCATTCACTATTCATGGATGCTATATTGTTTGTGCTTTTTCTGGATAAATTGAACTAAGGAAACTGAGTACACAGTACCTCTGAGTGTGTGTGCGCCTGTGTCCAGAACTAGCCTCTTCGATATACTTTTTTTGGATTATGATTTTAACTTTCATACAAAACTGTCATAAATCAGGCTAAGAGAGGTTATGTGCTTGGGTGTAACAGCTGGTGCCTACATCCTCACACTATTTGCTGTAAGTTACATTGCAACTCTGAGCTGAGTTACAATTTTATTATTGTAAACCATCATCTTAATTTTTGCATCACTTGGCAGATGAAATACAAAGAACGAGTGCTTGGATTGATTCTTGTTTCACCAATTTGTAGAGGACCTTCGTGGACTGAATGGATTTACAATAAGGTTTCCTCTCCTTCTCCATGCTTTTATCATAAGTTATCGATTGAAATTGAAATCCCAACAACTAGTTCAAGGAATCATTGTTTCCACGGTAACATTGTGTGAGTTGAGCTCGAAGCTGCTACTGTTTAGTTGACTGCACTTTACAGGCTATCTACCGTGATTCTAAACACACTTAGTATACTCAGTAATTGTAAAATAGTCCATTGAAATAGAATGTTTACAGGTTTTCTACATTTATGTAGGTTCTGATGAACTTGTTGTACTTCTATGGTATGTGCGGTTTACTGAAGGAATGTCTCCTGCAACGTTACTTCAGTAAGGTATTCTTCTCATTCTTTGTCAGGCACTATGCAGGTAGAATCATTTATGGAGGTGACATTACTTCTCTACACCTTTTATAGGAGCTTAGATGCAGTATTGAGGGATCAGAGTCAGAAGTAATACTAACTTGCCGAAGAGTACGTAAATCTCTATTTTTTTCTTAAACAAATAATACATAGACATTTTTCCGAGTACATGCGCCTAGTTAACTTGGAAATTAGGATAATTTTGTATGTGTACAATTCTGACTTGAAGATTTTCTTTTCTGTTCTATAATTGCAGCTTCTGGATGAAAGGCAAAGTTTGAATGTCATGCGTTTTCTTCAAGCAGTTAATGCGTAAGTAATGATGTTTTTTTCCAAACTTCTGATTATTTTTCTTTTGTTTTCTCTTGTTTTCCAAACTTCTGATTATTTTTCTTTTATTATTGATGATAACCTAAATATTCCCAAGAATTCGATGTCAAAATACATACTCACATACATACTCTTGGAAACTCTGCTTTCTTTGCGGTCTGCCCCAAGTCATCTAACTGCGACATTTTTATTGTCTTCGTTGCAACCTCCAACACCTACATTGTGTTGGATTTGAAGGGGTGAGTATAGTCTCATATTACTTAAAGATGTAGCATGTGTTGTGTTTATAAGTAAGGATAACCCTTACCTTACAAACCAGTTTTGTAAGGTGGAGTTAGACCCAACCACAATTCTTAAGATGGATTCAGAACCTATTCTAAATCAGTTGTTGGGCTTTCCGCATTATTAATGCTTTAGCCTATTCTTCCTGCATTGTGGTCCACCCTTAGCCTAATTGCGGCATTTGGCTTGCCTTAGTTGCTTTGGAAATTCTTTTCTACACTTATAAACTATCTTGTAGTAGTTACTATTGGGCATTATTTTATAAGTGAACCGAATTCTAGCTTGTGGCTACGGACTTGTTGGATTTTGGGCGGACAAATATGGCATGAAATGCAAAAAGTCAATAAACAGATAATGACAACAAAATGATGAAAAATTTAAAACTTAAGGAACTTAATTATCAATTGTTCACATGGTTAATTATTGATAATAACTTAAACATACTTTTCTCAAGATATTTGATGTTAACTTACATATTTTTCTGTCTTGTTTGAAAATTCTTCTCAATATTTCGAAATCATCTTTTAATAGTTATTATTGCACACAGTTGACTCTTATTGTATGAGTCAACCAAATTCTAGCTTTTGGATATGGACTTAGTTTGATTTTGGGAGTGAACTAAAATGGTATTAAATATAAAAAGATGATAAAGGGATAATGCCAATAAAAAGTGGAAAATTTAGAACTTTAGCATCTTAATTATCATCATTTGTTCCCATGGTTCATTACCAAAATGTTGAACTACTTGCAGAAGGCGTGACCTCAGTGAGGGACTAAAGAACTTGCAATGCAAGACACTTATATTTGCAGGAGAGAGTAGTCCATTTCACGCCGAGTCTATCCACATGAGTACAAAAATGGACAGCAAAATCTGTGCACTTGTTGAGGTAGGAATTAGTCCATGTCCATTAAATATGAAATTACATAATATACTTACATAACACACAAACATAACATGATTGATTGCTTTACAACACTTACACTTGATCAGGTTCAGGCCTGTGGCTCACTAGTAACAGAAGAACACCCAAACTCCATGATAGTACCAATTGAGTGCTTCTTAATGGGTTTTGGCTTCCACAGACAACCACATTTTGCTTCCTCATCAAGCAATGGTTCAAGTCCAGCAAGCCCCTCTAATCATACAATCATGGCACCAGAACTCCTCTCCCAAGAAAGTTTAGGAATTAAGCTAAAGCCTATCAGAACCCGTGTTCATGTCGAGATCTAACTAAGCCTCTTCTCAATGTTTACAACCTCATTTCAGTATGTAATAGTAATCTTTCTTTCTACCACTGCACATAATAGTGTAGGTCATAATATTCTTTGATTGGTTTTAGCCCTATAGTTGATTATTTGATCATTCTTTTAAGAGTATGGTTTTTGAGATAGATATCATAGTCTATATTGATTCTAGTTGCACTCCTTAAGTCCTATTCGTTTCTGTTATTAATCATTTGTGAAGTGAATGTATTGAACCAAATTTATTTAATTTTATCATCTTGATCATTCTTTAGGTTGATTGAGTAGCTTGGTCTGTTTCACACTAATCATTATTGAACATTTCTTTCTTGAAAGATAAAGTGATAATAACCACCGAAAATTCACACACATTACCCTGAGTATCAGGGTGTATAGTGATTATCAGGGTTAGAATACTATAAGTGACATCCAACCTAGTAATATCAAATTCTAAGTTAGAATTTACTGACATTTTATTTAAATCAACAGAAATTTTAATACAAGGTGACATGTATGCTTCAATTTAAATACATGAATCTATGAAGAGGGTTTATAAAAGTGTTGCAACAACTTCAAGGTGCCATTGATATTTCGTCAAATTCTTCATCATCAATCCAAACATACACTAAAATTAACAACATTACAACCAAATTTAATCTAAATCTGGATTTTGATCAATTTCTTTAAATCGGAATGTGTCGTTTCAAAGCTTGCTTCCCGGCAACTGCCACAGCCGCCGCAATTCCACCAAGAGCACCAGCTATAGCCGCTGATCGGGGACCCGCCGCAGCTTTATACAGCGCTCCGGTACCAAGTCCAGCAACCGCGCTGTTAACCAAGTCATCCGTCTCCCTAACATGGATCATAGCACTCTCCAACCCTGCAAAGATCAGTCCCAGAACCCCAAGCGAGTTACCGAGTCTACGACCTCCTTGACCACCCGAGTTAAGAACACGGTTGACTCGGATTTTAAAAGACTCCCCTGACTCAGCAGCCTTAAGACCTTCGATGGATCCTCTGGTGCCTCCGATGATGGAGCCGGAGAGGTAGCCGGTGCCGGTGTAGTACTGGAGGTTGTCGCCCCATGAACGGTGCTTTCTGGAAGCTTCTTCGGGGAAAAGATGCTCCGGCGAGGTGGGGAGGTTGTAGAGCTTGTCGACGGGAATGTTGAGGTGCTGGTAGGGATGGTAGAGACGTGAATTTTGATGATCCTTTGGGTTCGTTGAAGAATCAGCCATCGCCGTCAAAGAAAGTTCAGAGAATGTTGTAGTTTTGTTTCTATATAGGGTTTAACAGCTACCAAGGGTTTTAGAAATGTGAAATGATATTCCTACACTTCTCGAAATGTATGTTGAGTATTGCCATGTATTAAAAAAGTTAGCTAAAAATCAAATACTGAATGCGTGAGACACAAGTAGTTGATATTTAGATTTGTTGTAAAATTATTAATTTCATTTTGTATTCACTAGAACACGTTTCAAATATTCACATGACTTTGGGTGTGTGTCTGGTTAGTTATGTGATATAATGAAAATATTGATTTTGAATAAATTTGTTTGTACGTAAAATAAGTTGATAATAAATTAATTTGTATTTAAATAAAAAATAATTGAACGATAACTTTTAATATAAATTTAATTGTATAATTAAAAGCTATAATATTTAATTTCAAATACAATCATATTTTAAAAGAAATCAAGTATATCAAACTTAATTTTAAATTTATAAAATTAATTTTAACTCTTTTAAAGAGAGATTCTTTGATTCGGAAGAGACGTCAAATTTAGAGATTTCAACAAACTATTTTGACATCTGTTTTGCAGAATTCGGCCTGTGAAGTACTTGTTTAAGCGGTTGATTGATTTGGACGATGATGGTGTGCATTTCAGATGAGAATGGCGCTATCTGCTTCAGTGAATATGATTGGGTAGAGGAATAAAGTTTTTCTGACCGCGGGTCTAGACATAACTGGTGGGGTAGATCAAACTACTTGTAGTGATACGAACGCCTACTTACTCTAGGGGTTCACATGAAGTGTGATTCTTTCTTCAAGAATATATAGAGTGTGTTAAGTTGATCTTAAGATGAACTTATTTAAGGTTGTGAGCATATCGTTCAACTTCATTATCCTTTTCTTCGTAGTTAGAGTGTCTTCATTTGATAACTGTTTCACACTTGTTTGGGTTTGCTTATATGCATTTTTTCGTTAAGTAGATGTTGGAATTAACCCAAGATTTTGAATAATTCTAAACCAATCTTGATGAGCAAGATTCAATCAACCGATCAAAATTCCTTATTCTTCACTTTTCACTTTTCACTTGAGTGAATCAATCACACCTTGATTGCAAGAATGATTCTGCGCAACAATTGTTAATGGAAGAAGAAAGAAAGAAAATTTAATAAGAAAGAAGATTAGGGTTTAGCAAAAATTGGAAAAGAAGAAGATGATTTTGCAGAGTAACTATTTGCTCTCAAACTGAGAAAATATTATTCAACTGTGTAACTGAACTTTCTGTTGTGTGTTACAATTCATAATAGGGTTACTCCCTATTTATAATTGAGCTGGCTTGCTCCCTAAGCTAAATCGCAAAAACATAAAAGCCCAAAATTTCTATTTTGGTCTAAGTCGAAATCATGTGTCAAGCAACCTGCTTCGACATTTCGACATCTAACACAACTCGACACACATTACAAATTTCGACACATCCTTGTTTCTGTCGAGCACTACTTGCTTCGACACAAGGAATTACATTCTCAACACACCACATAATTCATTGTGTCTAAGATATCTATATTCATCATAAACCTTAACTTCTTGAACACTTCGACTTGCACCCCCTTCGTCATGATGTCTGCAATCTGATTCTCAGTTCTATAATATTTTAGATTCATCTTCCCTTCTGCTACCTGCTCTCGAAGATAATGGAACCTCATCTCGATGTGTTTGCTTTGTCCATGTGCTATCGGATTCTTCGCCAGGTTGATAACTGACATGATGTTGGTCTTCATGGTAATTGTTCCATGAATCTTCGCTGTAATATCTTCGACCAAGTTCACCATCCACTTTGCTTGACATGCACATCGAGAAGCAGCTATGTACGCTACTTCGCACGACGACAATGCCACTACTGGCTCTTTTATCGACCTCCAAGCATATGGTGCACCACCTAGCACAAACACATAGCCAATTGTGGATTTTCTATCCTCAGGATCACTACACCAACTTGAATCGGTGTATCTCACTAACTTGCATTCTTTTCCTTCACCAGTTGCAGGAAACAAAATGCCATAGCCGAGATTTCCTTTTAGATACCTAAGTATCATCTTTGTCACTGCTAGGTGTGGTACCTCTGGTTCTGCATGAATCTACTCACCATACTAACAATATATGTTAGATCAGACCTTGTGTGACAAAGGTATCAAAGTGATCTAATGAGTCTTCTGTACTATGTTGGGTCGACATTATCTTCATCTGTGTCTTTCAATAATTACATTTTGGCCTCAGTTGGAGCCGAAGTTGGGTTGCAGTCTTGCATCTCAAATCTCTTGAGTCTTTCGCCTACTTATCTTTTTTAGTGCATCATCAAACCTCTACCACTCTTGTAGAATTCGATGCCGAAAAAATATGAGAGATTTCCAAGTCTGATATTTTAAACTCCTCACTTAGGTCATTGATGCTCCGTAAGTGCACGGAAATATCGAAGTAATATAAAAGATTGTCGAACCCACAGAGACCAACGTCAATCTGCCGCTATCTATTGTTGCAATGTAAAGCTAAGGCTAATGGAATTCTAAATTGGGGTGCAAGAATTTAAATGAAAATTAAAACTAGATCTAAATTAAGATATGATGGAATATCGGTATGTGATTTCATCGGCCATCGGGGATTCAATAATTCATGGACGTTTGTTAATAGAAGAAAAATATTAGTCTGTAGGAAATACTCATTTAAAAGACCTTATCTCACACTCTCGTGGTCTTGACTTAGACTATGCTCTTAAATCCGAATGCAGTTCTCGCTCTCTCATTTTGCATTCAAAAACACTTTTTGGAAACAAATAAATCCTAATTAAACTTAAAGCGCTCTTGCTGTATTTAAGCCTAATGTTCAGTTTCAGCTATCTGGTTAAGACCTCAAACTCTCGCTCTATCGATCTTAACCTTCGTTACTTTCTCACTCTCGTGACAAAAGTTATGGTTTAATAATAAGAAACCGAGACCAGAGAAATAGACTTGTTTAAGTTATGTCATGAATTGATAAAATCTCATCCGACTGATTTATTTACATACTGATATTAACTAGTTTAGCCAGCCATGACTTTCATGCTATTACTAAATCTAATCTTAATGCTAAATAGAAAATAGAAGGGATGCATAAAAATATAACGATAAAAATAAAAGCAAATAAATAGAACCTGGAAATTAGAAGAACAGAAAACTTGAATTCGATTATGGAGGTCGACTTGCAATTCAGTACAAAATTCAACCTTCTAATCAATCCTAAAACTAATTGGCAATTGTTTATCAGTGTGAAATACAATTGCCTTACAAGTTACAATATAAAAACTAAAAAGTGCAGAGAAAACTAAGAATGAAAATGCTGAAAAAGAATACGAAACAGAAATTCTAAAAGCCCCCCTTTTTCCAAAACTGCATATGTCTTTTATGGCCCCTAGTGGGCGACGGTTACCCCAAATTTGAGGCCTGAAATGAGAAGAAAAACAAGGAGAAAATGTAGCCAGGAAGTTGAGGAAAAATAGGGAGAGAGTTGAAAAAATTTGGGGAGGAAGTGGCAGGCGCCACTTCCCGTTTTTGTAGGAGTGGCAGTTGCCACTTCCTATTCCTTAGGAGTGGCAGTTGCCACTTCCTATTCATGTGGCAGCCACCACCTCTTGGTCATGTTCATGTGGCAGGTGCCACTTGGTGTGTGGTGGCCCCCACACCTTTTTTTTTTTCCTTTCTCTTTCTTTCTTCTTCTTTTCTTTCCTTCCATTTTCTTTCCATTTTCTTCTTCTTTTCTTTCCATTTTCTTCCTTTTCTTTCTTTTCCAATTATTTCCTCATTCCTACAAAAATAAATAAAATGATTAAATAATATGATAAAAATCTGACAAACTAATAATAATCGAAGGTAAAATCTATGTAAATCAAGTAAAATAAACGATATGATTTCGCGTTATCAGTCATGCTTGAAATCTTCAATCTCCTTCTTGCAACTTCCTGTTATCCACAGGTTATCAACATAGAGACATAGTATAAGCAATTCACTCTTGCTTCTTCTTACATATGCTCCATGCTCAGTCGTGCCCTTTATAAATTCCTTCTCCCTTAGAAAGTTATCTATCTTCTTATTCTAAACTCTTGGAGCTTGCTTAAGTCCATACATGGCTTTATGTAGCCTGTATACCTTACTTTCTTCGCCTTGTTTCACAAACCTAGATGGTTGTGTGACATAAAATTATTCATCTAAGGGGCCACTTAGGAATGCATATTTCACATCCATTTGACATACCCGCCAGTTGTTCATATTTGCTACACCAACAACCAACCTGATTGTTTTGATCCTAGAAATGGATGCAAAAACTTCGTCGAAGTCGATTCCTTCTTTCTGAAGAAATCCTTTTGCTACAAGTTTTGCCTTGTGTCGAGTTACTTCTCCTTTGAGATTCAACTTCACCTTGTATACCCACTTGTTACACCCTAAAATTTGACCAACATTTCTTTACCTAGCTTATGTTTCATTGCATTCACATTAGCATTATCATTTGCATTTCATTGACATGTATGCAGGAGATCAAGAGGTATGATTACCAATCAAGGGCTATGCAAGACTTTGAGGCTAGCTAAGAAGCTTATTCAAGTGTTCAAGGGTTGATATCCTTGTCAGAGAAGTTGAAAGATCCCCAGAGAGAGTGGTTGAACCCAAGAGTTGTGGAAAGACCTCAGATGATTCTGAAGCCAGGAATGTAGACTTGAAGCCTTGAGAGAGCTTATGAGATGTCTTGAAGGACATCATGAAGCCTAGATAGGTCATTGTACAAGATTAGGAAGACTCAGCCATGAGTGGTGTAATTAGGGTTTGACTGGGTCAACCCTAGGTCAACTGATGATTTGAACAAGGTTGAGACCTAATTCAAGGGCCATGTGATCATGGATTGACACATTGAGATATTAGAAGGATGATTCCAAGGTCAACTCATCATGATTGAAGAGTTTGAGAAGTTTCAAGCTAGGGTTTC